GCTCCGTATCCAAAGTCGTCTCGTCCCGCCCGCCCGCGCGCGCGCGCGACCAGCCGTCTTCCGTGCCGGTAGTAAAATCGTTCGTTTGCGCGCGCGCGCGCGCCGGACCACCGCTCGTCCGCGCGAGTGTGTGTCAGTGTCTCCCCGCGTACGTGTTTGTGTGCGTGCGCGTGTGAGCGTGCGTACGCGTAATTGTGTGTGTGTGTGTGTGTGTGTGTGATAACGACCGACCGACCGACCGACAGACACACTTTGTTCTATTCGTGTTCGACGCGCGCGATGCGTCCGATCTCGTTCGCCGCCACCGCCGCCGTCTGAATTCGATCGCATTATTCCTGATAACTTATTATTTTTATTATTATTTTTTTTTTTTTTGTATAAATAATTTTTTTAAATTTTTTGTTCCACGTAACTCGTCCAACGTCGCGCCCGCACGTTCTCGCTACTCGACGGACGGCAGTCTGTTTTTCGAATAACTATATATATATATATACAAACACACACACGCGCACGCATATATATATATATATAATATATCAGTTTTTGTTTTTTATTTATTTGTTTTTTTTTTTTTACAAAAGATAAAACAACAACAACAACGACGACGACGACAACGATAACAATAATAAAACCCGTATAGTAAAGACCACACAGGTAAGCCGTAGTTGATGTCTCCCGGTCATGTTCAAACGTAACTTTATTATTTTAACATTATTTTAGTACTACTTAAAAATGTATCGTTTAACTTCGAAATCGCTGTTGCACCGCCGCCGCCGCCGCCGCTGCTGCTGTTGCTGCCGACGTCGTAGGCGCCTATAGGCGTACTTATTGTTTTCACGGGATCGCGATAACGCGTGCTGGCCCTCGGGAGGGGGATCGGGAGGTGCGCGAAAACTCTGGTCGAACTTTCGAGAGCGCTAACACATTATTATTATTATTATTATTATACAGTGGGTATAGCCTATCGACAATCACCGCCTCGAAGGGGTTTTCCGACTTTTTCCGAGTGATTAATAGACCTTCACCCCGTCCTCGGAGGACGGGTCGACGAAACCGGTATTATCGCGTGATTTCATTTTCACGCGATCCTCCGTCGACATCCCCCTACCCTCGCCAAGTCGGAGCGCCGTCTGTTTACCACATCGCCGCACAAAATCTGAACGACTTAGGCGTGCGGCTAAATTCGACTCGCTGTACAGCTAATCGACACTCGAACTTCCCACCCGTAGTCGCACCGCGTAATGTAACAATGCATACGATCAGGACATTATTATTACGATCGTGCGACGAGGACGACGACAATGATTATATACTGCAGCCAGAACGATCTTTGCCCGGTGGGAGGGGGAGGGGTTGTTGCGGTGATGAATAATATGTAGTGTAATACGATATTCATCGATCGTCGTCGCCGTGATGTATGACTAAACACCGCACGTCATGACGACTGATTTTCGTTCGACTATTGCGCGATATCGTATAATACATCAATATCCATACAACGCTACCAATAATATTATGTATGCCGTACAATTTTATTCATCACCTATACGTACTATTGCATAGTCACACGTAGACTTAGTGGCGATATATTATATTATAATATTATGTTTTGCATGGACATTGCGTTATTATATTGATGTCGTGTGTTTATTAAGCGTATAAATTGTATACATATATATATATATATTTAGTCGACCAAAGTAATAGAGACTATGTAAACCTCTTTTTTTCTCTCTATACACAATATATATATATATATATAATATTTGTACACTTGTACCTACAAACATGCGTATATATTACTATTTATGTGTACAGTACACCTATCCTTATTATTATTATTACTATTATTACAATTCAGTTGTTTGATGCTCCTTAGGTCCTTTGTGTAGTGGCATGCACCTAATATCGTATACGTAATTATAATATGCCGTCGCAGTGTATTGTGTTTGTCTTTCGTATAATATGATGTACGCAAATAATATAATAATTGTATCATTACATGTACATCGATAATATTTATGAATACGGTTTCGGTCGTCGTTCCACGGTGTAACCCGTCTGTATCACGTGACCCGCGTCATCGAGGTGCACCTGCAGCGGCACACTCGTTCGAGTCGCTACCGCGTTCACCACAATCACCAATGCCATAATGTTACCACCTGCAACCAAGCCACAACAGTATATGTGACGATATTATATTCGTACCGTTTTACCCTGATTGGCCGGTCCTGGTCGAAAAAATTCCTTTCATTCTCACGTAGGTATTTACGACATTCAGTGTTTTCTCTCTCTATCTCTCAAACATACATATACACGCTGTATACACACGCGCGCGCGCGTAACAACGAGCGCACGCGCTTGCGTGTTTACGTGACTTTGGTTAATATTACTTTTTGTAATGCTGCATATTCTTGTTGGCCCCGGGTCCGAATCCTTGAATGTTGCCGAAGGAGAGAAAACAAAATCTACGTAGATATTTCGAATACGAATCGTCGTCGTTTCGAAATACCTATACCTAAAGTAAATTCACATATTTTGACCAGCACCTACTCCGATGCCATTACAAAAGAGGTGCATATACCGCACACTTCGTGTTTTCGTCAACGTCAATTACAGAACACAATTACGACGCGATCTGCGCTATTTTCAGGCAATTATTGCGAAAAATAACAGTACAATTTTAACACTCGAGCGCACACCCCCGCAACACTATGGAGGATATCATGTATTGTTCGTAGATTTTTATTGTTCTAGTTTATGCGTCACGATGACTTTAAAAATAGTGTTACTATCGGATAAAAAATTTCGGGTGGCCCACAACATTAACTGATATATATATATATAGATTATATTATATAGCCTAGTACTCTATATTAGGGTGTGCGAAAGTTATATAGGTTAGGTTTTACGTTGTCCGATGTATAGATACCTACAAATAAGTAGCGTGTCGTACATTTTTATCACTTATGGGTCGATAAAAAGCGCATATTATACCCCATAAATATGTACCCATAATATATAGAATATATAAACTTTAATTATAATAATAATAATAATTCTCATACACGCGAGAGAATCGATTTATAGACTTTTTTTTTCCCACTTTTAAATTATCAACGTGAAATATTGCGTATAGGTACTGCATGCAAATAATTCACCTGGGGATTAACGAGTTTTTAATTAACAGGTAATTCAATTATATACCAAATAGATTTGTCAAGAAATATTTCGGCACCAATCGGTAACCCCGCATGGAATTTGAAAAACTTTTTTTCATATTCTACTAAAACGCGTTCGATCCATAAGTAAAACGTCGTCCTTAAACAACCGACGGAACGACGACGGTTTGGATTGAGTATAAACTTATATGTGCCGTGCAATAGTGTAAACTTTTAACACCGAACCAGGGAGTATAAACTTCGAAGGTCAAACGATCGACGAACGATTGACGATACGTTTCGCGTCTACGATTCAATTATATTGATAAAACACCCGTTTCTTTTCTGCAAATCGATATTTAGGTGCTTAATTTATTGTTTCATTACTTTCCGCAGCAAATCTAGGGATTAGCGAACTTTGAATGTTTATTATGTGTATATTATACACACACACACACACACACACACACACACATATATATATATTATAACAAATTTAAACATTTATACAGTTTAAAAATTACACAGGCGTGCTCACTATTATACTTACATATATTCTATAAAATCGATATCATATACCTTACATATATGTATATTATACATACTGCAGTAGTTCTATCTGCTATTTCAGCATAGTAGCTGTGTAATATATTAACTGAGCTCCTACGTTATATAATACTGGGTGATTTTTCATCAAACAACCCTCATTATTTAAAAATTGATTGATGTTTCATGTAATTTCTAGTCGAAATAGAACGATATTTTTAAAAATATTTTTGATTGCTTAAATTTTAAATTTTTACGTTTTTGAATAACAACTTACATTTTAATTTTGTATCCTGAAGCAGAATATTTTTCGGGGTATTTTGATACTTAAAAATCGAAATTCAATCAAAATAGTTAATGAGTTGTAAGAATTTAAAATTTGGTTAAGCGGGTGATGTGGTATAAGAATACCACAAAAAATATTGGACTATTCCTCCATTCACCTAAACTTTAAATACTCGTATGAACCTTGATTTTTAAGTATCAAAATACTCAAAAAAATATTCTTTTTTAAAAACTTTAAAAATTATAACGATAAAATATATTTTATTTCGACTGGAAATTATGTAAGAAAAATATTTTCAATAAATTACCATGTAAACTTAACGTAAAGTGTATTAATTCTAAACATGGGTATATGTATGTGTTGTATAATATCTTAGTTTACATTTCTTCTGCACGTTCGTTGCATTTCTTTATATTAAATATTACGCAATTTTCCTTCTTTATTGCGGGCATGTGTTCGAAAAACAATAATAATAACAGACAGGGCGATGGAATTGATGAGTAAAATATTATATATCTTCTTATTGTGTACATTTTAATACAATTCGAACCGAAAATAATAGTTTACAAACATATAGAATATGCATAATATGATTTTAATAGTTTTTTATTAGTTTATTATTTGACACCACTAAATAAGTCAAAATTAACTTTTTTACATAATGAATGCTTTAAATTTGTCGCTATCAAGTATATTAAAATATTTTCTACTAAAAATGTTCAATAAAATAAAAGTAATTAGGTCAAAGAAATATTTTAATTTCAACTCCTCAAAAATCAAATTGTTTATAAATTGAAATCACCTCACTATATTTGTTTTTCTGTAAATTTTAATTAAATTCAATTTTTTCCGCAAACAACTGTCAAACCAATAATTCATCTATCTACGACATATCTACGAGTATACTATCTGATTATCCTAATTAGCAACTTGTATGGAAAACTATGAAACTGCGCAGCAATTTGTTTTTCGATCAAAAGTTTTCGAGCAATTCTAATGCGATCAATAATTGACATGTATCTGCTGATAATATATTTTGAAAATCTTCAATTTTACTTTTCATCTAATTTATTCATTAGCCTAAGGTTAGGTTATAAACTTTCTTGAACAATACACGATACACCATTATGCGTAGCTTTAGGTATACATTAATGCGATTGGGGGATTTACATGCATGACGTTTATAAGAATAATCTAATAATAGCTAATTAGAATTAATACGCTGTTGACGTTGACTCGAGTACAGTGGTGTGCGTTTGTGTATAGCGAACTTTTGTTACTGCATATTTGTAAAACCCATTAAGTCAATTATAAACACCTCATTCAGGTGTTTAGAACAACGACCGAAATTTGTATCGATTGTCATGTAACTTTAGATACAACAATAATAATGGAACATATGATATAATTTTATTATTATAGTATATATTACGTTGTACAATATATTATATGGATATAGGATGTATCTAGGTATCTATTTATATCTATTGCATGCGGTTAATCTGCTTTTATCTAGCATATAATTGGTTAATTTTGGATTGTGTACATTCTTGTAGTACAATAATAAAAATTAAGGTTTGAGAAGTCGCTTGACAAAATAAGTGTTTTAAATCTATGGATATACACTGCAGAAAACTCGAATAGTAATACCTACAGCGTAC